GTGCGGTACAGTCAGCAACAACAGCAGACTAACAATAATCAACAGCCTAGCATAGGCCAACAACATCAGCATTCAACCTAGCAGCAACAGCAGCAGTCCAGGCCGAATCAGTCGCAATCCAACTCCAATTTCAGCCAACAATCACTTCTTTGTTCTTATTGTGGGGACACAAACCATGCTGTTGAAACTTGTTGGAAGTTGCATGGCTATCCCTCATGGCATAGACTGCACAAATTAGGAGGAGGTAATAACAAATCAAAAGAAGGTGGCGGCTGCAACAAATCTTCTTCAGCAAACCATGTGGATGCAAATCCTAGTTTTTTTTATGTGAAAGCCGTGATGCCCAACCTTACCAATCAACAATATAAGCAAATATGTTCAGTGATGAAAGATAAGGAAAGTGATTCATAGCCTGATTCCCAAGCGAATATTGCTAATTCAGGTTTGTTTACACTTGATTAGATCATTAACAGCGGGGCGACGGATTATATCACGTCTTCCCCTCATTTGCTCACAAATGTGAAGCATTCCACCATACCACCCGTAAAGTTACCAAGAGAGACCAGGCTCCAATTACTGCTACTGGCACTTTGCCACTAAATTCATATTTATTTTTGAAAGATGTGTTGGGGGTTCCCACATTCAAAGTTGACTTGATGTTTGTGAGTAAGATTACAGAGGATTTAACTTGTTCAGTAACTTTCTTCCACAATGGTGTGTTTTGTAGGATTTGGCTATAAGGAGGACGATTGGTCTAGGTAAGCGACATGGAGGCTTGTACTATCTAGTAGCGTTGGCTTCTCCAAATTCCTCTCCAAATAAATCCAATCCATCTTGTCATTTGGCTTTAGCCTCCGCAGATTTATGGCATAGCCGTTCAGGTCACCTATCTTCTGCTCGTTTAAATTTTATGTCCAAAACATTGTTAAAATTCCCTTGTTCTTCAAATGATCTTTGTGATATTTGACCATTGGCCAAATAGACACGACTCCCATTTTCGATTAGTTCCATCTCCTCCTCACATCCTTTCGCACTCATTCACTATGATATTTAGGGCCCGCACAAAATAGCCTCTTTATCTGGGGTACACTATTTTTTAATTGTGGTGAATGATTTTACAAGGTTTACATGGGTTTTTCTCATGCACCATAAAAGTGAAACACGAGCACCTTCGATCTTTTTTTGCCTATACCCAAACACAGTTCAACACCAAAATCAAACAAATACGTGTGGACAATGGGGGAGAATTTTATTCCCTTCGCGATTTTTTCGCAGATAACGGGGTCATTTACCAACGATCTTGCATTTACGCCTCAACAAAATGGGGTCGTAGAAGCAAACATTGCCATCTAATTGAAATGGCTCGGGCTTAACTTTTTCAAGCCCACCTTCCTCTTCGATTTTGGGGAGGAGTGCTTACCGCTGCTCAAATCATTAACCGAATTCCTTCCAAGCTATTTGCCCAACAAACCCCTTTTGAAAAATTATATGGCAAACCACCTTCCTATACACATATGAGAGTCTTTGGGTGTCTTGCTTTTGCCACTAACACCCATCCCACATCCAAATTTGATACTCGAGCCAAAAAAAATACATTTTTTTTTGGGTACCCTAGTGGGCAAAAGGCTTACAAGTTGTATGATCTCGCTACCCACAATTTTTCATCAACAGGGATGTTAATTTTTTTTAGCATCATTTCCCTTTCCACACCATCAGCCCAACCACAAAATCAGTCCAATTACCTATCCTACCCACACCGCAGACCTTGATCTATGCCATCCAACCTTCGGCCCACATGACTTTCCTCCATCTAACCCATATTTTCCCCTGAGCCCAATTCCACACTTCCAAGCCAAGATGAGATAATCTCTCCAGCCACGCCTAACTCTCCAGCCACACCTAACTCTCCAGCCAACCATTCTTATTTTTCTCCTGTGGACCCACCTGTTTCTCCAACCAGTCCTACTACACCATCATCTGCTGCAATTACAAACCCAGAACAACCCGCACCTCTTCCACCTACTACCCTTCTTTCTACCAATCCAACTGTCAGAATCTCTGAGCGTCCCAAACAAGCCCCCGTTTGGCAAAAATATTATGTTCTTAATCACGTACTAGTACCCAGACCCACTTTTTCGTCTTCCTCACCGCCGATCCTGCACAAAGGTACTCGTTATTGCAACTGTTAGTAGTAGTATGGAACCTTCTTGCTTTACAGAGGCTACTGCACATCCCAATTGGCAACAAGCTATGCGCACTGAACTTAAGGCCTTAACATCCAGCAACACATGGACGCTCACTACTTTGCCCTCCGGCAACCAACCCATGTGTTGTAAATGGGTTTACAAAATCAAGCACTGATCTGACAGTTCCATCGAACGCTATAAGGCACGCCTCGTGGTCAAAGGATATATTCAAACTGAGGGGATTGATAATCACAATACCTTCTCACCCACGGCCAAGTTCATTACTGTACATTGTTTGCTTGCTATTGCCGCTGCTCAAAATTGGTCCCTTAGCCAGTTAGATGTTAACAATGCTTTTCTGCATGGAGATCTCCATGAAGAAATTTACATGTCACCTCTTCCTGGTCTCTGGCGACAGGGGGAGAATCTTGTGTGTCGGCTTAACAAATCACTCTATGAGCTCAAGTAGGCATCTAGGCAATGGTTTGCCAAATTCACTGAAGCTGTATTGGCTGCTGGGTTTATCCAATCCAAGACAGATTATTCCCTTTTTACATGCAAGAAAGGTACATCGTTTACAGTCTTGTTGATTTATGTTGATGACATACTAATCACTGGGAATGATCAATAGCAATCTCATCTCTTAAGCAATTTCTACAATCACAGTTCAAAATAAAAGACCTTGGAGATCTCAAGTTTTTTTTAGGGATTAAAGTTTCCCGTTCAAAACAGGGCATATGTATTTCACAAAGAAAATACACCCTTGACATACTCAAAGACAGTGGCATTTCGGGAGCAAAATCGGTAGCCTTTCCCATGGAACAAGGCACCAAACTTTCTGATACATGTGATCTACTCGAAGATCCATCTCAGTTTAAAAGATTGGTAGAGTGCTTGATATATCTCACCATCACGCGGCCCGACATCACATATGCAATAAATGTGCTTAGTCGATTTATGCATGCACCCCGAACGCCGCATATGGAAGCAGCTCTTAGGATACTCAAGTATCTTAAAAATGCCCCAGGGCAAGGTCTATTTTTTTTAGCTGGAAATAACTTGAAGCTATGTGCTTATTGTGATTCTGATTGGGCGGGGTGTCCTATATGACAAGGAGATCCACAACTGGGTATTGCGTATTTCTTGGGAATTAGAGGACTAAGAGACAAAAAACCATCTCATTATCTTCTGCAGAGACAAAATATCGAGCTATGACAAGAGCATGTTGCGAGCTCACTTGGCTACGAAGCCTGTTACATGGCCTACATCTTCCACATCCAGAAGCTTGCAATTCTCCATTGTAACAACAAGGCTGCACTACATATTGCTGCTAATCCAGTCTTTCATCATAGAACTCGTCATATAGAGATGGATTGCCACTTTATCAGAGACAAGATACAGGATGGTGCAATCGCTACCAAGTTCATACCTTCTTCGCATCAACTAGCAAACATGTTCACAAAACCCTTGGAAAAAGATCCCTTCTTATCCATGCTAGGCAAGTTGGGGGAGTTCTTGATATCCACTCTCCAACTTAAGGGGGAGTTCTTGATATCCACTCTCCAACTTAAGGGGGAGTGTTGGAAAGTAATCAATACCCGATTCTACGGGAACTAGAATAGGAAAAACTTCTCTGTAATTGTTTGACTTTTCCTAGAATTGCTGTACAATTCTTTTCCTAGTTAGGCTCTGTATATTTCCCTAGTTAGGCTTGCATTCTCCCTGTATAAGTATATTGTATAATCAATAGAATTATTAATTCTGGCATAATATCTTTCTATACCAATTTGACAGCTTAGTCCATTAGTTTACACTATACTACAGATGATCAATTCTATAACTAAATTACTAGGAATGGATGGATTGATGGATGCATCAGATTCTGAATTTAAGAAATATATATCATCTACTTGTTGAGATGCTTAATTTGTGTTTTACTGTAATGACGTGTTTAATTCCTTCACTAATCAACATCATGTACGTAGAGTAGAGTTTTATGATCTATTTGCATTCAAAGAATATTGAGGATATATATGATCGGATAGAAAAAAAAAAGGAAAAAAAAAAACAGAAAAGAAAGTAATTTTGCTCTCATACGGATTGGATTAAGCAAGGAAAAAACATGTCATCGCATATGGCAGTCCGGTGGGTTGGATTTGGAACACATGCTGAAAAGACCATTGCTGGGTTCAAAATTTCAAATAGATAACTGTCTTCTTATTTATTTATTTATTTATTTCTTTGTTTTTAAAGAATAGTCCAAAAAAAAAGAAGGATTTTTTGTTGATATGTCACCTAAACTTATACCTCAGTTTCAATTTGTCACCTTAAAAAAAATTTTAAGAGAAACGTCACCTAAATTTTTCGAAATCTATGATTTCTAACTTTAACACCATCCAATTTTCCATCCATTATTAAGATTTCCATTTTCAACAGAAAAAAAAAAGATAAATTTTTTTTGGGGGCCTAGCCATGAATTTTCCTTGTTTCATTAGAAAATACTTCAAACTAGAAAAAAAAAAAAAAAGGGGACAAATGCAAAATAATTTCTTAATATGGCATGTTAACGTTCAAAATAGAATTATCAGAATCTGTTTATATAGAGAATAATTTGTGGAGTCAATCTTGAGAAACGTTGTTAATTGCTTATGATAAAAAAGCAATGCAACTGTTCACTTATTGGAAATATTTTCATTACAAAGCTATAAAAGTGTTCTAGAGAGTTCAAATTATGAAAGCTATAACACGAGTTACCCAGCCCACCACTTGACCTAATTATTTAAAATAATAATCAGACTAGAAACCAATCAAGCTTTACATGAGAGACTTAATGGTTCCAATGATGGAGAAAACCAGCACAAAGACTCCAAGAATAGTTGAACTGCCCGTCCAAAGATCCTTGAAGTAAACTCGTTTCAGGGTCGAAATGTTACGGTTGTAGAAGCTGATCTCGTAGTGCTCCTTAAGCTGATTACAGATATCTGCATAGCAGGATCTACTAACCGTAACCTGCTCACAAAGTGAATTAATCAGCTTCACCACTGCGTTGCTGCTGCCTAGCAAGTTAACTATAACTTCGCTTTCAATCAGCACTTTCACATCTTTCACAGTGTCCACAAGCTGATCCAGCATCAAAAAGTAACTGCAAACATAAGCCGTCTCTGCGTACATAAACTGCTCCAAGGCCATCACATTTCGAATAACGCATTCTACCTCATACCTTGCCCTAAATTTTGTAAGCTTCAAGTTCATATTTCTAAAACATGCCATTTTAAAATTACATTTGTGGTCCTCACCTCTTTTTATGACGAAGCGTTCACTACCTTCATTTGGCCAAAACTTCACCCCTGCTTCCTTCAGCTTTCTTACTTCGTATATAGTTTTGGTACGGATGTACTCGCCATTTCCTTTCCAAGTCATGTTTTCTGGCCACATAAAATATCTTACCAAGTCAGTGAAATGTTTCACTTGTACTCCATTCTCAATGGGTTGTAACTTCGTGTATTCCCGAAAGAACTCACAAGTAAGCTTAAGAAAGGGGTGATCATAAGCAGGTTCGGTTTTCTCAATCCCTATAGGAAGATCATCAGAAGGGGTCGAGCGGGAAAATGGAAAACAAGGCTGGAAGCAAGGCAAGCAGTGCTGCAGGTCATCCGCCTCTTCTTTCTCCTGAACATTTTTTCCGGGGTTGGAACTGGAATAGGTGGGGTTGGCAAAGTGATATAGCGCTTGAAGAAGAGGATAAGGAAGCTGATTTTCCAAGAGTATCAGGTCCTGCTCGACAGCTTTCCTCAGCAATGGCGATCTTAAAAGGTAATAATTTTCATTCTTTTCGGTTTGACAGTTAACGTTCCTCAAAAAGAGCTCAAGGATGAAGCAGGCATCAATTAGAATTACCTTCACAAAGTCAATATCAAGCTCAAAGGCCCCTGCATAACGACCACGAATGTCACCTTCTCTCTCACGGATGAAGTTTTCTAGTTCCTCCTCTTTCTTCGAAGTTCGCTGGCAGAAATTCTCATAATATTCCTTTTTATGGCTTTCCATGTCCCCCAGTTTCGGATTGCCATGGTGGAAAGGGCCTATTGAAATCAATTGAGGAGTGTATGCTTCATCTTTTACATTCCGGAGTCTGCTAGGAATCCGGTAGATACACCGGTGCTCCGAGAACTTAACAGGGTCATTGCATTTTTTTTCACTTTGATCAGTTTTCTTCGCCATTTGTGAAGCCATCATCTTTGTCCTGGTGACCACAAGAATACAACAGTGTTTTATTATTGCAAAAGTGATTGTAATTAAATTTCCAGCCAAGCATCTAGGAAAGGATTCACTTTTGTAATTTGTTCATCAACAGTCTTACATGCACCAAAAAGCTTTCACGAACCTATAAATGATAAGGCTTTTCATTAATAGGCCCATCTTAGCATGATATATTATATAATTACCCATAAAACTAATTAGAAAATGACAAGTAGCTAGTTTTGGGTTTTTCCCTCTAAATAGGCTCTATATACATAATTGTACGTATAATATATCATACTAAAAACCAGGAACTAGTATGCAAACATAGTCTGTTCGATAAAACTAAAATGATGATAACAGGATTCAAAAGAATGATCCTAAAAGGAAGATTCCAAAGAGTACAAATAACAAAATATATTCAAGAAAAAGATTTATATATTCTCAAAAAAATTTCACTAGCTGCATAAAGACTCGTTCTATATTTCCCTCCTTACCCATAAGGAGGAACTTCACCTTATCTTTTATTGTGGCTCAACCACAAATTGATATGTGTCCTCTCTTTTTTAATTGTCAAAACAACAAAAAAACGGAAACAGCAGGTATATCTTACAGTTGCTGAACTCAGAAGTTCTTGAGTACTCCTCGATCACCACAATCTTGTTCTTGTAGGCTTTTAATCCATCGTACGTTCTACTATTTATATTGATCACAGCATGCAAGTGTAAATTAATTAAAGTTAAACCAAGACTAAAAGCAAACTTAAAAAAATACTGGTGTTAAGTAAACTAACCACGTTCAAATTTTGAGAGTTTTAAAAAAAAAACACTCAAGCAGATGATTGGCTATCGCCAGGGTGGCAGCCAAGTACCTCCTAACTTCTAGTAATTCTCTCCAAAAATATGTAAAATGCAGTAGTTCACACGTTGGACTTGAAAACAAAAACTATACTATAATTTTCATCGCAATTCTTGTGATATATATAATTGCATACCGATCTGTCCCATATGGAAAAGGAAAAGAAAAAAAACTTATTGCCTATCTGTCAATTGATATAAATAACTATAAGACTTTTTACTTTGACAAAAAAAAGAGGACTTTTTTATGTGGGTAAGGGGTAGAGTGGGGGATTGAACAATCATATATATATATATATAGGTTAGGATGGAGGGACACACATTTTTTATATACATTATGGCACATTTTTTATACACATTATGGCACACTTTTATGATCGTTAGATTGAAAAGTATCCAATGGCTGAGATTGCATGCACATTATGGCACATTTTTTTATACACATCATGGCACACTTTATGATCGTTAGATTGAAAAGTATCCAATGGCTGAGATTGCATATAGCATAAATGTACTAATTTTCTTTTTAACAATTAATAAACATTTATTTTTGATCTAAAAACAATAATTAATAGACATTGGAAATGACAAAACTCTAGACGGAACATATGGAAATGAGGTAAAGTGAAACAAATTGAATTTCAGGAGGTAAAGTGACACAAATTGAGTTTCATCACTACTACAAAAAATACTTTGCGTGACGAAATAAGTTTGTTGCGCAAAATACAATTTCATCGCACAAAACCTGTGCGACGAACTGTTGGTCGCGCAAAGCTCGTGAAGATAGGGTTTGCGCGACGAAACCTAATCTTCGTCGCTCAGAGCTACTTCGCGCGACGAAACCTAATCTTCGTCACGCAGAAATATTTCAAAATTTTTAATTTTTGTGTTTTAAAATTTTATAATTACAATAAACTAATTTAATAGTTTGGGCGACGAAATATTTTTTCGCACAAGGTTTTTAACTTTTTGTTTGATTATTTCTATTACATTAATTTAATTATATTATTTTTTTCAAATTTCTACTTTTTAAATTTAATTTAATTGTATGATTTTATTTTTTTAATTACTTTAGTTTAAATTGGCATATTCAAAATAAAATTACATATGAAAAATAGTGATCAAATTATCCAATATATATATATATATATATATATAATATTCAAAATGTACACATAAATTAACAAAGTACAAATATGGTCAAATAACAAAAAAATTAACATAAAATAATAACAAAAAATTGGCATAATCTCCCCTAAAATTGTTATACTCCAAATCCAACCCAAATTCCAATCCTCACCCTATACTCAACCCCAAACCCCGCACAAACTCAAAACTAACTCCAAAATAAATTTAAAGCTACTTAATAAATAACTATATATATATATATACACACACACCATTCAACGATCCAACCGTCAAACTTGTTTGTATATACTTCGAGATCGTATACCCCAAAAATCGCAAAAAACAAACATTCAGAGATCTAGTAATAAGACAAAACTTTTCAACGGTTACAAATGAAAAATCACGATTTAACGGTTATTTTAACTCTGATTTTGATGATTTTTTATAGCTACACTCAAAAAATTGGCATAATATCCCCTAAAATTGTTGAAATTGATACTTAGGTGACGAGGGGTAAATTTAACTAAACAAACAAGACACAACAAGTCAACAAGCAAGAGAACACACAGAGTATGCCACAGAGTACTTGCAGTCCTAGAAGATTACTAGTGACAACCTAGGCACTCAGAAGGACCCATCAATTTAGGCATCCCCTGTGCTAGCAACAACTATGGTGAAAGTGTGTGAAGTCATCATTATCAAGTAAACAGCAAACAACA